ACTTCCTTATATTTCTCTCTTACACTTTCATATTCTCTGTGATGCGCTCTTACTCAATGTTAATTTTGATATCGTGCGTCAAACACTTACGGAGGAGTTTGGGGCAAGTAGTATAATAATTAGTTCCAACTCGACTCGATTTTTTTTTTTTTTCCTAAAAATTATGTATTAATTTTACGAAGTTTAAATAGTCAAGTAGTTTTATGGTGCAATCTAAATATTTTTTATAAAATTTTAATAATATTTTACTCGTAATAATATTTAAATTGTAATCATATTAAAATTGTACTTTTTATTATTATACTTTTTTACAGAATTATTGGACGATTTCTTAATGCAGTTAATACAAAGAACAAAAAAAAACACAAAATTTAAATTTTCTGTTTCGCAAATTTTACAAAATTTTAATTTTATAATGTGAATTGAAAATTCACTTTAATTAAACCTTATAAAATTAATAATATAAATATATAAAAAGAAATAATTTTAAAATGTTATATTTGTATGTTATATTTTTAAATAAAAATCTTATTTATTGCGTAATATGAAATATATAACTGTCAAATTTAAAATCTGTCAAAACTAAACCTATGTTTGTCAAATTATATACTAAGTACTGTTATTGTTGTATTGCAACTATAAATGTTGACAAGTATGTGTGCATATTTGTAGTTATTTTTCATATGACATAAAATTTTTTCATTCAAGTTTTGAGAGTTTAAAAAATGTCCTAACATTTTTCCTATTTTATACTATTGGAAGCTGAAAAATTTCGTAAATTTTCCTATATGAAAAAAATATCATATAAATTCAGATTGCATGACTTTGTTGATACATCTATCCATATAAAAATTTAAAGCCCAACTACCGGAACAAATATGAATAATAACTACTTTCAACTATTCTTTTATGATGTAGTAGCATTCTTGAGGACGCCCAAGGCAACCGTCTTAGGTTTTAATGCAATCGAAAGACGAATTTTTAAGTAATTTTTTTCTGATTATTTAGCTGGTTTTTCCAAACTACTGGACTATTTAATCGGTCTTTCCAAACTACTTTGGTAATTTAAAAAGCAACAACACATTGTATATTACGATATCTTAAGAAGTTAGCAAATTAAAAAAAATTGCCGCAGATCCCAGTATCACTAGTGAAATCCTTGAATTTACAGAAACTAAATAATTGAAAACAGCTTTAAAATATTAGATTTTTTCTTCATGGAATTTGATTAAATTTTTATGTTTTAAAATTGTTCACATCGGAAAACATAAGGTTATTTTTGTGGTAATCGTTGAGCATAATATTCTGATTCATTGGGACTCAACGTTATAAAGGATTAATGTGCATACATTATGCATCTACATAAATATTTATTTTAAGGACGGAAGGAAAATTAAAAATAAGATTAGGTAATAAGTTGTTGACTTGCGAAATATAAAGGATTATACCCCCATACCAGCAATAATCAATTATTAAGAAATGATTTAAAATGAAGATGAACTTAAATTTTACAAATGTTATTGCAGTTGTGTATGTCATTTCGTTTTATTCTAGCACCTGTGCAATATGTTTCGTATAAATATACTAATGCTTTGTAGAAATACATTCTTATTGAAGTAAAATACTCGTTACATTCTCGTTATATTCTATATATGTGTAAAAACAAAAGCTAAACTGTGTACGACAAACAAAACCAAAACGGCGGACAATTTCCGTTGCTAGCCCAGAACAACAGTTGGACGGTTCAGTATTATCATACTTCAGTATATTCAGTATTTTTCATAAAATCAAGTGTTCAGTATTCGTGTATAAAATCGCACATACATGTAAACAAATGATGTCAAAAAAGCCTGCCAGCGGTAATATACGTTGCGGTCGGTTATGTGCTAACTATATCAAATTCTTTTTATTTATAAACTTTAATTGCCAAATTGGTTCTGCGCTAATTACATGCACTTATATTTATATTATGTTAAATTAGAAAAAAAAAATCTGATGTAGTCAGCACATAACCGACCGAATTGTGTATTGTCTAGTTGAGTGAAAGTGTTACAGAATATTAAAAAAATGTCTGTTAAGTACTTCTTTCCAATTTTAAGTACATTTGTAAGCTTATAGTTAACATACCTAGAAAAATGTAAATTTGGCTCTTAGTAGAGCTTCGCTTTGTGCTACCCGAATTCCCTGAAATGCTCGCCAGTTATTTTCGGTAACAACCAGAACTCAAATATCATGTATTTCACAATTCTTACAATTTTAAGGACGCTTTTAGTTGACATATGTAGAAAAATGTGAACTTGGCTCTTAGTAGAGTTTCGTTTTGCCATCCGAATCATACGAAAAGTTCGTCAGTAAATTCCGGTGACAACCAGAACTCAAATATTAAATTTCAAGAAATTCTATCAATTGGTTCCATAGATATGCAAAAAATGTAAAATCGGGCCCTCTTCCACAAAATCAGTTTCTAATCATTCGAAAAAAATTTATAGATTCATTGTTTTGACACCTTGAATTTAAATATCAAATTTCCATTGTATACGCAAAAATGTGTATTTGGTCTGTAGTAATGGTCCAGTTGCTAACACCTGATTTCTTCCAAAAATTAGGAGATTACGGGTACGGTAGAATGACTCAGGGTGAACGGGTGACTCAGAAAGGTATAAAACAACATATACCAATGGTTAGAGAGTCGAAAATGGGTAAAACTTTTATTCTGGACTAGGTGCGAGATCCCAAGGGTTTCCCAGATACAGGGATTTTAACGAATTTTCATGAAATTTCTACTTTTCCAAGTTTTTTTGATTATAACTTCCGTTCCGAAAAAGGTAGGAGCTTCAAACAAACAGTTTCTGAAGGGCCTAGTAAAAGGCTTAAAATAAACATGTTACTGTTTTATTTAAAATAAACATGTTAAACATTTTCCTCGTCTTCACCACTACTACTGGGGTACTTATCACAAAAGAATAAATCGGCAATCGATGAAAACATTTTCATTTGTTTCATAAAATAAAAATGTTAAGATATCGATTAAACCTAAAATTTTTTGAAAAAATTTTTTTTTTATTTTTGTAACCTATATTATTCATTTTATTTACTTTTTTAATAATTTCAAATGGCATTTTTTTGAAATCTCGATAGCAACCATTTTTACACAGTGAATTTAGCTGTTCAATATCATTGCAGCGAACCACAATATCATTCCAGCGAATATTCGGGTAACTCATTTCGAGTAATTCGCTTCGAGTACATATTTGCTTCGTGAACCATAATAATGAACATTATTAGTGAAAAATGTTAATAAGATTTTAATTTGGGACGAGTTTGAAAATTTTTCAAAATTCTCAAAAAATTCTTTTTGTTTTATAGTCTCTTAATATAAATTTTATAATATTAACATTGACAAAGTAAAAACTTTAAAAATTTCAAATATCGTTTAATGCAAAAATCATACAGACACATTTATTTTCACTTTTGCTGCCAATGTAATACTAACTATCGGGTTTTACGAGAACTTAAAAGAATATTGTGGAAGAAGGCTAGAAAGTTTTATATTAAAAGAAAATATAGTATTGTAAGCAATTTAATATCATCACATCTCCTTTGTGCCATCCTTTCCAAGCCCTTTAAACAATTTAATATAAAATAGAACTAGTATATGTGATATTTAATAAATTTTAATTGCAGTTATATTTATATATTTAATAAATATTATGCACATACATATATTATGTATATAAAAGTTAAATTAAAAAATTCAGATTTTTTAAAATTTAAAAACAGCAATGATATTGTGCACTATAACATTTCAATTTTTGATATTTATCATTTTTCGCAAGATGAAATTTTAGTTTTAATACTTAACATATTTATATATTTATTTTGTTTTATTTTATTAGGAATATCAATTGTTCTCAGTATACTCAAATATAAGAAACTATTTATAGTATAAGAGGAAATTTATACTTTTTATTTTTATAATATAGTAAAAGTTAATATACGAAAAAATTCGAATGCACTAAAATTTAATGAAAAACAATAAAAATAATAATAATAAAAATAATAATAATTATAATAGTATCAGTTTATAAAATTTGATAATAGTTAAAAATCAACAATTAATTTGTGTGTTTACAAATCTAAAAGTATAGTAAGCTAAGAAATATTATGTAAACAAAATGAAAAATACAAAACAATAATAAAAAAAAACATCAAAACAATAGTAACATATGAGTAATAAAAAAAGGAAATAAATTATAATTAAAAATTATAAAATAATCAAAAGAAATAAAAAAAAATCATTTATAATTGTACTTCTTTTGCAATTTCCCATAATTCTCGTCAGAATATTTTCGACTCAGTTTTTCTTCATACAATATATTAAAAAATAATATTAAAAAAAAATACGAAAGCATTATCTATTTTCAATGTCTGTCGGTAACAGTATCAATAATTGTCCAACAACATCATCATTATTGGCTTCAACGCCAATATCTTCCTCTCCATCATCGGTATCGCCGTCGTCTTCTTCATCATCTTCTACAACAACATCCAGTTTATCTTCATCACTTTTAATAAATAATAGTGTTGCAGCCGTAAATCTATTAAATTCAATCCATTGCCATAATAATAACAATAATAGTAATAACGCTAACAATAACAATAATAGTAACAATAACTCGAATAATAATACAAATATTAATAGTACAAATAATGGCAATAATAAAAAAACTAATAATAATAATAATAATATAACCAATACAAATAATTTAACTAACAATAATAAAAATAATAATAGCAATACTAGCATTAATAATATAAATAATACTAAAAACAATAATAATACAAATAATACCAATACAAATAAAAATAATAATAGTAATAATAAAAATAATAGCAACAATTCTAACACAAATATAAATAATAATAACAATAATATTAATAATAATATTAATAATAATAATAATAATAATAATAATAATAGCAATAATAATAATAAAAATAATAATATTATTAGTAATACTAATAATAATAATAATAATAATAGTAATAATAATAATATTAATATTAGTAATAACACAAATTGTAAAAATAGTAATAATAACAATAATAATTTGAACAATAATACGAAAATTAACACGAATACGAATTTTAATTTAAATCCTAATGTAAATCATGCTAAAAATAATACAAATAATACAGGAATCGTAGAAGATCAAAGAGCATTGCAATTAGCATTAGAATTATCAATGGTTGGTTTATCAGAAAATAATAGCAATAATAATAACATAAATAATAATAATAGTAATAATGGTAGCAATAATATATTGACATCAAATAACAATAGTGTAAATAATAATAATAATAATCATCACCATCCGCAACCGCAGCCGCAATACCATCAGCATCAACAACAGCACCAGCAGTTACAACAAGCACAACAACATCAATTACATAATAGTTTAGCAAATTGTTTAAACGTAACAAATACAAATAATTTATTTGCTGAATTAAATTTAACAAATGGTTTTAATTCAGCTGCTGTTGCTGCAGCTGCATTAGCAGCATCAAATAATATTACAAATAATGGTCTTAATAATGTTGTAACACCATCAGCTGCAGCTGCAGCAGCAGTCGCAGCAGCAGGTGTTACATCATTTGCTGCACTGTTACCAAATATTGAAGATCGCTCAAAAAAATCACAAAATATGACTGAATGTGTTCCTGTACCAAGCTCTGAACATGTCGCCGAAATAGTTGGAAGGCAAGGTAAGTAACACCCACATGATAATTATTTTTTTGGAACTATTAAATAAAGAATTTCAATTTTATATTGAAGCCAATCTAATTTATTCAAATAATCAATTTTATACGCTATTCCCATTTTCTTTGTGGTAACCAGCATTAAAATTATTCTTATTAAAAGAATGCTGAGATTAATTAAGTAAAAATTATTGTTTCGATAATAGAACACATTTAGCGGTAGTAAAAGTTTCTTCTTATAATACGAGTATAGCAATTTTTTAATAAAAATATTACTAAACTCGTCCTTTACGAAGCCAAAACCCTTTTGTAGCATTAAGCCGCATGTTATTACGGCGAGTACTTAAAAATAATATTTAAAAGATGAGGTCAGATTTCTGGAAAAATCTTCCAATTCTCCGTCCAGAGAAAGAGATTATCGATTTGCGCACCTAGATATTAAATAACTTGAACCTCCTCGATTACATTATTAATTTTTCATTCATCATTAATTTTTAATTCGGCAATATCTTCTATTGTTGAATACCATGCATTTCGTTTTATTTAAATTTAGTTTTAACTTGTTCATATATAACCAATCAAAACACTTTAAGTTTTCATTAATTTTGAGAAACACTCCTCAGAACTACCGCAACCTCTCGTTAAGAGACGACCTGCAGTCCAGAACCGTTGTGGATGTGGAAGTCTCAGAACCCAATGTTCTTATCGTGGCGTGGGTGTCAGTGAAAAAAATTACACTACCAGCCCATACTACATTGCAGTGAAGCCAGCGCAGAGCCTCCGCAATCGCGACCACTTCGGCCTGAAAGACACTGCAGTGATCCGGTAAACGGAAGGAGAGCTCAAAATCCAATTGCTCAGAATAAACTCCCCCACCTATCCTGCCGTAGGTGTAAAAATGGACGGATCCACCCTCAACAGCTCCCTCGCTTAGCCATGCATGCCTAAGCGAAATCAAGATCCCAAAGTTCCTCGTGAATGAGAATTTTTCCCATCATGCGTCCCCCCCCCTCGGGTGACATGACCGTTGAGACGCTGCCTGTAAACGCACTGCAGATCCCGCAGCCATCTGCCGACTCAGTAAATCTAATGGCAGCAGATGGAAGAGAATCTCAAGCGCCTGCGTAGGGGTGGAGCGTAATACCCTACTAATGCAGACAATGGCCATTTTTGAATTCGTGGGCTATCATTCAGGCGTTGTCCGGACTTTCAGTTCATGGCTCTTTGAGAACTCTGATAGATAAAGTTTGTTCAAATCTAAAACAAAAATTAACTTAGGCTTAGGCTTAAACTTAAACTAAATAATATATAATATAATATAAATAAATATATTATTAAATGTAGTTATATATATAACTGTATATTTAATATAAATTCCTAAATAACTAGAAATGTTTATTCAAAAATAAATAAAATTCATAACAAATAATTCAAGATATTCAATAACAAATTTTAAATATAAAGGCAAAAAAAAAGTATAATAAGACATAAATTACAGAAATAGTTAATTAAATTCATTCTTGAAAAGAGAATATCACGTTTGAATGAAAATATAAAAAATGCAGATAATAATTTATAAGTATATTGTTAGGTAATGTAAAGAAATATATATATAAAAGGAGTCGAACGGATTACCGAATAACATTAGTTGATGACTCAATTTGTGAGTAATCAAATTCCAATAACATTTTAAAGAACAAACATTTTAAAGAAAAGTTTGCCTAAATTACGGGGCAATTTTTTTTTCTAAATATTTCTTGTGGTAAGTCTATCTATAATTTTGATTCATTCAAATAAACTACATTAAATAATATGAACAAAATATGTACATATATATGAACCTATTTGTATCTATATGTATTTGTATAATAATACCACATTATAAATTCCAGGACAAATATTTTGCCTATACTCGTATTACCGTGCAAATTTTTTTTCTTAATATTTCTTGTGGTCAGTCTATCTATATTTCAGTTGAACCAATTTTGAAGAATTAAAGCCTATCAATAGTTAATTAACTTTTGACGTATGTCAAGTCTCAGAAACGCAAAATATTGAACAGGTTTTAAGAAATCATATTATTTAAACTTTTTCAATTTTTAATGTTATCCTTTCGGACCTTTCTTCCCTGACATATACGTATAATATGTAAGTGTCTATGTAATGATATAATATGTTATAATATATGTCAAAACACAAGTTTATGTTAAATTAATGTTCAAAATTACTACGCTCTTATATAACAAAACTCTATTATACATTATATATATAAATTTTATAATTTGTAAAAATAAATTTTTATTAATTTATAATATTTTAATAATAATAAAATCGTGGGCATTTAATTTCAATTAAATTATTTAAATTTTTTTGAACATAAAATTTGTTATTTTTATACTACATATACATTTATATAAAAAATAAAATTTCTGTGTTGTGTAAAGTGCATTTACGAGTATGTATATATGAAAATTGCGCACATTTCATTTATAGAAAATAAATAATAAAAGCAATGTAAATAATACATTATTTTTAACGACCTCATTGCATACAATAAGGGAGATGATGTTATAGCACGAAATTTCGAATATTGAGTTTTCGTGGGGAACGTACTTCTCCATGGTAGGGAAGCGTAAATAATTTTTTTTAAGAAGACCTGACATAATGCTTTTTACCTTAAAAAGAAAAATCTGTTTGCCTGTCTGCTGGTCTATGTGTGAAAGTGTGTATCGCAACTAAATTCTGTAAAATTGAAAATATGTTCTTTGTATATGGTAGATCAATTTATATAATTATGTTTGGGTATATTTGAAAAGAGATAAACAAAAGTACTCTAATTTTCTTCGTCCCTTAAATAAGAAAAATACCAAAAATTTTTATATGTTATTATATATTATTATATTGCAATAATATTTGATGTAAAATAATATTATTTATACAAAATGTTGTTAAATATATAATGTAATATAAATTAATATGAGTACACGTATGTATATGTACATATTATATATAAATAACTGTGAGAAACATAATGAATAACATATTATTATATACAATCGTATATATTTATAATTCATAATACATCTAACATAGTATAGGCGATTAACCAACATTATTTTCTTTGGGAGCAATGAACGTTGTATATTATGTAAAAAAATAGGATAATATAATATCAATACATTATGTATAACATATTATTTACTAATAAATATATTATTCACTTACATTTGTCTTTGTGTTATATTATATGTTGTGTATGTTTAATATATATATATGTGTTTTCCCAACATATATGTATTTAAATAGTAAAGTTTTTGCTATGAAATTTTTATTCTTTTTATATAAAATATTTTTATAATTTTAACATCTCTTCAGAGAATAAGTAGTAAAAAAACCAAAAAACAAAAATAAAATAAAAAGAAAATATTTCATTCTTATATTTTTATTTTCGCTTTTTTATTCCGTTTTCCGACAAAATAAGAGCTAAAATTTATGAGTATAAAAACAAGTAGACATACAAGTATACGCATGTGTACATACATTGAAGGAAATTATATGGGAGCCAATTGTGTATGTATTAATAAAAGAAAATTTTATTTCACATTGCAAGAGTAAAAATATTTTAATATATAGAAATTTAGAAATTTAGAGTTCAAAAAATGAAAAATCCTAAAAATATCAAAAATTAAGTAGAATTAGAATCAAATCTTTTTCTAATTAATATTAAAATTTTAAAATTAAAAATACCAAATTTTTAAATTAGTACATTCTATACAATCAGCTAGTAACTTCTATACAATCTTTACATTACATATAAATTTTTTTAAATCGGTTAGTAATTATCGAAGTTACAGCCATTTTTGACTATTTATTGTGAATTTGTCAAATTTTGCAAATTCAAAAAAGTAATGGCTTCTTCTACTGCGGCACAGCATTGTTGATCTTAAGCTCATTGTTGATCAGAAAAAAAATTATTTCAACCTCCACCCTCTTTCAAGCTATCGCTTCTCAAAATTTGTAAAATCGAATTTTCTGCAGTATTTATACGAAACTTCAGGTTTTTTCAAATTTCTATAAACAAAAAAGGCTAACGGTACATGACTGCCATCAAAAAATATAATTATTTTTTCTAACTGACACAATTAACCCTTGAATTCGATCATTATGTTAACGCTTCAATTTTGTTTCTGGTCCGATCCTAAATGTATGCAATCCTTGAATTATTGCGTTATATGAATGAAAGCAATTTTAATAATGAAGTCGATTGCTTTTAAAAGCTGCATTTCCAATTGTTCAAAGAATAAGGGTTACTTTACAAACCATTGGCTTGAACCAACTTTATTTTTTTCTTATTTCTTCAGCATACAATCTTGAACACATATTAAAAATATAAATGTTTAAAAAATTACTGCTAGCTGCTATACGCTTCTCCAAATTAATGTAAACCGATATGATAATAAGAGAATAATTTCAATAGATCGTTTTTATTACTTGGACCTACAGCTCTACAGCCTTCCTCCAGAAAAAATGGCATATTTTCCTATTGCTTATTAAAGAAGAATGTGTTATTTTGCAAACCGGATGCTGGTCTCATTAACGATTTTTTTTTGTTTATATAAAATAATATTGTTAATACAATTTTTCTTTCTTTCCCTCTAAAATATTGTTATTTTACATACGCACTGAATGCGGCTCGTAATAGTTCTACGTAATAGTTCTACGGTATGATGATCTCAAGATGTTGTCGGTCGAAGAAGACAATATTTTTCTTGGAATTTTTTTAAATTTTTTTGAAATTGAAAAATTTTAATAAGTTTTTTCTATTTTCCGTTGAAAAATATGCAACACCGCCGAAAAATATGCAACAAATCCAATATTAAATGAAAAGGATTTAGAGAAAAAGGAAAAATAAATTTAGAAATATTTTTAAATTTAGAAATTTTTTAGAAAGCATCGTTCGTTGTGCATCATTAAAAAGTTTCACTCTTGCTTAAAAATCTCAATCA